TGTGAAAACCCCAAGTGTCTGGACAATTATACTCTATCTGATAATTATTCTTGTACTAGTAGCCTGGGCGTACAAGCAGAGACGCTGCCTTCTCCACAGGAAAAAGAACAAAGTAACAGAACTCCACAACGTCCAACTTCATTCTTAAACTGAAGCAACCATGAAGTTGAATCTTCGAGGGGAGGAGTTGTGTCACGCTTAAACCTCTAAACTGCCCGGACTATCATAATCTAAGCTAACTTGCATTTTGTAACTTATATATACTTGCTAAACGCATAATTATGGTAGTCAGAGAAGTCAGAGCTAAAGAAAGTATTATATTTGTGAAAATAAAGTTTGTTCAAAAGGAAAATTCAAAAGTCCAAAATATAACTAATTAAGATGATCAGCATATAGGGAGCGACCAAATCATTTCCTGCAATGAAACGATCTCAATTTTAAATTTAGATTTAGGTTATCGAAAGAAGTTACGAAGATCGTAGTAGAGAAAATAAAAAAATATATTATATTATGGTTTGCATTTGTTTTTTTTACACTCGATATGTGCTTTACACTTTTTGACTAAAGCCAGCAAAATATTTTCTTCTTTAGACGTAAAATTCGTAGACCGGGCGGATTTCGTAATTGAAAGGTTTCACTAAATCCACTGAACTAAAGAAAAATATATTTTAATGCTTATACGCTTCAGTCAATTCAGTATCAGACCATGTGGATGTGGTTCAGTTCAAATATGCTGGACTGACAACATAGTTGCCAATGAAAGAAAACCAAATATACCACATTTTACCTACATTGGGAAGTGCCAACCCTAGGAAAAAATTGAATAGTCGAGTTCAACTGAACCGAACTTGGATCGGCGTGGTACAACCCGTGAAAATTGAACTCGTGTATGTATGTGAATAGTATATTAAAATATTCAATGGTACCATTATCATTAAAATAGTCAATGGTACCATAGACATACTGAACTCTGAATTAGGCTGCAAAATTGGCTACTTTAGCAATCACCCGTGACCTAATCCAAAAGATTCAAATAATCCTATTGTGCAATAATCTGTCAGTCGATTATTTCATAAAATAAACGGTACATCATTGCTATTAAAAGGACACATGAAAACAATTTTAGCATTTCAGTTTTGCAGGGATGGAGCTAGCTGGAGCACAATAATAATTAATTTTGTTTTACCCTTTACAATGAAGACACGAAAATAATGTATTTAGGTACCTTTAACCTTAAACTAACAAAAATACACTCTTGATTCATATCGATAAACAGAACGGTTTTCAAAGAACCTTCAGCCTCAATATCCATAAAAACTTAAATATACCTCCGGAATTAGAAAATTAAAACGTATTCACCGACGCATACTGTCTGTGACAACGAGATAGACAGAGGCCCCAGTATACTGAAGGCAGAGGTCAAGAAAGCAATAGAACAAACGAAACAACAGCAACAAAAAAAGAAATTCCCGCTGAACTGCTTAAACTTCTGGGTGAAGAAAGTATTACATGCTTATTTTAATAAAATATACAGCGAAAGAAAAATACCAGACGATTGGCTAGAATCGCTTTTCATAACATTACCAAAGAAAACTCACTAAATGCAGCGATTTTAGACTTATTAACCTGATGAGTCACACTATCAAGATCTTTTTGTGAATAAGGCAGAGGTCTAACAACAACCACTGTCAACTATCACCCACTACCACCGATTAAAATTATGGAATCTACAACGAACGGTCTCACAGCAATTGTTTACCGGCTTCAACTGTTTACCAGTTTATAATCTCACTTTTTATGAAAGGGCCCAACTCAAGCCGATATCATTTCTAGCGCGCATGCGCTCATTCACCCCTTGTACCAAATTTAGGCGGAATTAAGCGGCGGTTCGGTACATGGAAGTAACAGGACTAGACAACTATAATATTAGACTACGTAAATACCTGTACTACAACCAAGTAGCTTCCGTCCAAATTGAAGACAATCATGCTCAAAAACTGCCCATTAAACGTGGGGTACGATAGGGCTGTGTTCTGTCGCCGAGCCTTTTTAACCTATACTCGGAAGAAATATTCAAGGAAGCTCACACAAGAGGGTGTAAGACTCGGCGGAGAAACAATCAACAAATTAGATACGCTGACGATTCAGCCATTCTGGCAGAACATCTGGAAGACCTCCAAACATTAGTAAATCTAGTGAATGAAGCAAATCGTCGGGGAGGTCTCGAAATCCACACTACAAAAACAAAGTGGATGGCAGGCGAACAAATAAATGTACATCGGCGGCTGATTTGGGTCGGTGAGGAGGATATAGAGGGCGTAGACCATTTTAAATATCTAGACAGCTCGCTTAATGCGAATGAGGACTCTGATGCAGATATAACAACACGGATTGGAATATCACGCAAGACCTTTATGACATGGAAACCAGTTTTATGTAACAGAAATCTGTCAATGCATCTTCGTAAAAGGGTCTTGAGATGTTATATGTAGGCTGTCCTACTTTATGGTTCCGAGACATGAACACTAAAGGCCACAACGATGAATAGAAAGAAGCATTTGAAGTGTGGTGCTACCTACGGATTCTTAAAGTGTCGTGGGTATCGCATACCACCAATGAGGATGTCATCAGAATGATGGACACAGAACGGCTGCTGAACATTATGAAGAGGAGAAAAACGTACTAGCAAAATCGTACGAGAAAAACGAGTACCTACTTTGGACACATAATCAGAGGATCTAAATAACAGCTACTGCGCCTCAAAATACAAGGAAAAGTGGAAGAAACAAGGTGGATAGGGCGAAAAAAGCTGGCTACGCAATATTAAACAATGATGTGGTTGTTTGCGCGGCAGCCGATAGAGAAAGTCTGAATACCAACGTCTGAGGACAGACAAGGCACCAGAAGAAGCACAAATCCGAGATCATGCTCATATATTCCAGGACACCCTGTATAGATAGATATTTTTTATAACACAAAGTATGGAATAAAAACTATAACAAAATATGATTTTCTTTATTCGAACTAGGATAATTTAGACACTTTCAGAATTAAATGGTTACTGCCGTTGCATTGTCTGTTGAATTAAAAAGGATTTACCTTGTTTCCGTGGAAGGAAAATGCGTCTGGAATTAAAGAAACATTTCCTTTGGTATAGATAGACGTTTTGTGCTGTATTTCTTGATATTTGGATTATTAGAAGATGAATCGTCTTTAACCAGAGCAAACTGTTGCGGAATTTTAGTTAAACACTTTATATCCTTGCTATTTATTATTTAATGGCGTTGTTTTCAAGCACTTCACATTTAAAATTGTCGACATTCAGTCGCATGTTTGTTGACTTTTTGTGATATCTTAAGGTCATTGCATAAAGATAGTAGCAAATGGAATGTCCATAGTGATGTCTTTTCCAGAGTCGCAACGGCTGCAAGTCGACTGGACTTATTTTCTAACAGTTCGATAACGGTAAATCGTTTTCGGCATTTGATTTGGCTTTCTCGGTTGTGTATGGACGAATTAAATTATTTAGATTTTCCCTTGTTTGATATAACAGTAAAATACACTTTTCAAATAAATTGTGAAATAAATTTGCCACTTCTTCGCTTACCAACTTTTGTACCTAATTTAGAGAATTATTGTTTACTATAAACAAACAACTATAATTCTCTATAAAACTCTAAACATTCCTTCCGTACATTCTGTTTTATTCAGTGTTGCGTCAGGAAGTACCTGAAAAACCATGAAAATGGCTGGATGATGACGACATTGGCGATAATGCCGGAGAATGGCCCGCACTTTGCGTTGCTTATTTTCACCAAGGTTCGGTTGGAATTCGTAGCAGATCCTTGTGAAAGCATGTTTTTGTCTCGTAGCGCTGGGTTGTTCCGGAGGATTTCCGCTCGTTACGGCATTAAACAGCCCAGTAAATGGGTTGTCCGATGACAGCAAATTCATTCTTACGTTTTACAAGTTTTTTTTTAAACTAAGAATCTGTTTTGCAAGGGGGAAATTTAGGTCTACCCCTTTTTTTAAAAAACACTGCTGAAACGAAGGTTTGGGAAAAGGTAAAATCTGGATTTCCTAAGGCCGGTTTCGTTTTTTAGTTTTACAATTTTAGTTTTTGTTTTCTCTTCGGTTTCCAGAAAAGGGTAGCTTTGTCAGCCTTGTACCTCTATGGGCGTTTGCTATCATCATAGGTAAACAAAGCGAAAGATTGGGAAAGGACTGTAGGGCATTTGAAACCGGAAAACATGTGCGAAATGCAAAAAATAGCCAACGGGCTGAAACAAAATACAAATTGAAGAGCCAACGCGCTTTTTTCAACGGAAAAAAATGGTGTGCGTCACGGGACGCTCGACAGAAGTGATAACTTCATAAATTAATAGAAGCCATAAAATATTGAACTTGTTTCACGCATGATGGCAATAATAATTTTAATATTATCCTTGGTTAAATAATTTATAAATAGATCAGGAATAGGTAAGATGTAATTTAATTTCCTTCTGAATGTAAAATATTTAATTTATTTGCAACATTTGCTTGCATTGCAAACAAGCAAAAACACAACGGCAAGCGGTGTTCCCAAGCGGTCACCCATCCAAGTACTAACCTCGCCCGACGTTGCTTAACTTCGGTGTTCGGACGAGAGAGATAGATAGATAGATAAAACGTTTATTAATATTTACATTATATACAGACATTAACAGATTAACAACAACAACAACAAATGGTGCATGGCCAGATGGTCGGCCAGTTGCTTCTCTGCCTATGGTTTAATTGGGCGGAAAGCAGTCCAGTACCTGGGCAGAGCCCTTACAAGGACATTCGCGGATTCGCAATCGCACGAAAACGTGAGGAGATAATCTTTAAATGGCGACTTTTCTTTCACTGGAAGGGCATTCATTGAGGAAAAAAGGTCTTCCTGAAGGGAAGCCAAAAACCCCTTTTGCTTCGACCTTTAAATTGATACTATCAGCCGTGGCGTTTGCAGCAGGCAGTAAACGATTTTATGACCTAGGCCACGCCCTTCGCTCTGACCGGAGCAAGCCTTGCACCGACCAAAACAAAAGAGCTAGGTTTCAGTCAGTCACGTCATGTTGGAGGTGTGCATTTCCAGCCTGCTAGAAATGACTAGGCCTGCTATATGCAGACAATGTAGGTTTGTTGTCACGTTTTGT